TTGTCTGTAGCGCCACCATCAGGTCAAAATTCAGTTGTACTATGCCTTTATATCTGTTTGTATGTGTACCAAATATCTTGTTTTTTAAAAGGTGCTCTGTGGAATTCCTCACCACTTGTATCACTTTGCTTTAAAGAGTGGCTTCCTGTTTTTGTTGACACACTCCTGCAGATGGTTTCACACTGTGTGAACGGTAAAATTGCAGTTATAAGAAATATTCTGGATATTACATTTTGTGTATGGCAGGTCTGCAGGGAATGATGGGTTCTTATATTTTGCATAAATAGCCCCCGATACATTTTCATTCTCCTGTTTTCTTTCAAGTGTTTGCTCCATCACGTCCCTGTCTCCCGCTGCAGCCGTCCTCCTCACCCACACCGATCATTAAAAGCTACAGTACACATGTTTCTTGCCTCCAGGGATGACATGTAATTGTTAGATATTACCCATCTCTGTGCCCACAGTGGCAGAAAATGAAATGTACAGAATGAAATGTAGCTGCGAGACAGGCTGTGTTTTATTAGGCATGCTATTTAAAATAACATCAGCTATTAGAGGTGAGTCATGTTCAAGTGTGTGTGTGTGTGTGTGTGTGTGTGTGTGTGTGCGTGCATGCGTGCAAGATGACACCTACAGTCCGTCTGGGCCCAGTAAAGGTTACGGTGACAGGTATAATGTTATCTTCAAGTAGTAGATGCAATGTGAAATATAAACATAGCATAGCTGCACTATAATGGGACAGCGTACACTGAGAGGCACAACCAAGTGGCTGGGATAGTTTACAGGAACATCTGTGCCAACAAGAAGTCCCAGAGTCCCGATGGGACACACCACCGAAAGTGGTTTAGAACAGCAGGGCTCCTGTGGGACTTCAAGTTCCAGACTGACAAGCAGCAGCTTGCTAACCAACCAGACATAGTGGTGGTCGACTGGGAGCAGAAGGGGGCAGTGGTGGTAGGTGTGGCAGCTGACAGTAACATCAGGAAGAAAGGGCATGAAAAGTTTGAGAATCACCTGAAGGAACAACTTGAACAGATGTGGAAGGTGAATTCCAAAGTTGTCCCAGTGGTAATGGGAGCACTGGGGGCTGTGACCCCCAAACTGGAAGAGTGGCTCCAGCAGATTCCAGGTATAACATCTGGGGTCTTTGTCCAGAAGAGCGCAGTCTAAGGAACAGCTAAGAAACTGCGCAGAACCCTCAAACTCCCAGAACTCTGGTATATATTAGGGCTGTCAAACTTAATGCGTTAATAACGAGTTAATGCAAATTCCTTTTAACACCACTAATTTTTTTTGATGGCAATTAATGCATATACATTCTGTAATTACGACCCTGAGCCCACCCCTTAGTTTGGGAAATCAGGAAATGATGCAGCAGTAATTTTGTGGATGGCAAGCAGAAACAAACCTCTGTGAGCAGAAATGCATACAGGAAGAGAACTTTTAATGGCAGGTTCTGCTTCAGAGCTCTGCCAGATGATTCTCTTGACAAAACCAAAGTTATTTGCATTTACTGTCGATGTGAACTGAGTTACCACTGCATTATATATCGAGCTGCTTAAAAAACCGGGGTGTTTAGTCAACCTTTATAAGTGTAAAGTTGGACATTGTGTTAGTGTCACTGAGTAATGTTACATTCAGGTCATTACGTCCATCTGTTGTTGTTTGTTGGTTTAATTCTCAGTATTTGTTTTGGATTGTAGCAATAATAGTAAATATAGATAACTAAAGGTGTCCCCCAGGGTTCCATCTTGGGGCCTATTTAGTTTTATATTTTTTAGAAATGATTTGGGTAAAGACATTCCAGCAAAAATACACTTATATGCAGATGACACTGTCATTTACACCCATGTGCCCTCCATAGTGCAGGCGGTGCAAAAGCTTCAGACTGCATTTCAGTCATTACAAACTGTTCCACTAAGCTAAGCTTATGGTCTTCTCAGAAGCTCGCTCACAGTTGCATGATGATTTTAGCATCTTCAAGCTTTTATTTAATGTACATATTGCTGCTCTAGTTAGGAAGCTTAAAGTGAAGACTGGATTTTATTTTAGAAATAAGCTTTGTTCCACTTTCAGTGCTAAGAAAAAACATGTGGAGGCCACTTTTCTCTCTGTGATTGATCACGGTGACATAATGTATATGAATGCAACCTCCTCCATTTTACGTAGCCTTGATTCAGTGTACCATGCATCTCTATGTTTTATTACAAATACAAAGTCACTTACAGATCAGATGATATCACCAAACTTTAACAGGCCTGACTTTGTCAAGTACATTTAGAAACATTACTAAATGTGTGATTAATTTGCGATTAATTGCGAGTTAAATATGGACAAACATGCAATTAATCACAATTAAATATTTGAATCAATTGACAGCCCTAATACATATATATATACATATGTCATCCCTATAGGTATGAAACATATGCGTGTAGCCAGTCTTGCAGCTGAACACACTGAACAAAAATTAAGATGCAGTACTTTTATTTTTGCTCCCATTTTTCACGTCTTCTTGTTTGAGCTGTATGGAGGTGTTTATACGCACTGAGTTGTAGAGGCTGTGTTCCCTGGAGGTTTGCTAACTAAGCTGTGAGGAGTTACATGAGTGTGTCAGTGTCTGGTGATCTGGAAGCCAAATGGGGACCTGTTAGAAAACATCTGGCAGGCTGAGCCCTGAAGACAGCGAGTGGAGATGTGACACAGTCATGTGTTCGTGGCTGTGTGTGTGTGTGTGTGTGTGTGTGTGTGTGTGTGTGTGTGTGTGCCCTTCCACAGACACACAGCTGCTCTATGGACAGCATTTATTTGATTTTCTGGGATTTAACTAAAATCCTTCTGTGTTTTTCAGAGAAGAAACTAAGTTTGGTGATGTCATCTGATAGCTCCACACAATTATTTCAGATATCTGGTGTTTTAACATACTATCTGTGTGCATGTTAACACAGTTCTGCTGTTTCTTCAATTCTGAAAACTGGCCCCTGGACTCTGTCATTGTGTAAACGTGGCCCCTGGGCAGAGCAAGTTCACCAGAGCAAATTCTTTGTATGTGAAATCCTGCTTGGGAACAAACTGGCTTTTGATTCTGATAAGGAGATTCATAAGTGAACAAGTTATTCAGGCAGTTCGAAGACAACTTCAACAATAACCTGCCCTTTAGGAGCCTCTGCCCGATGTGTTTAAAATGAAGCTCCTCCCACAGACAAACCAGGAAGTTTAGAATCAATAAAGAAAAGAACGATTCTATGGAAAAACAACAAAACAATTTCTGAATGCAGGCCTGTTAGTCTAACCATCCCATAACACAGAAACATTAACAATATAGATTCTTTAAGAAACTCAAACACTGAAACCACCCTCTGTATCCACAATGGTTCAGTCCATGCCCCCCCCCCCCCACTATAAAGCCCATTGGAAGCTCTCACTTCCTGTTTGGCAGTTTGAACTGGAGCAGCAGGTAACGTGGCAACAAACATTTTGTCAACTGAACTCAACTGAAGATTCAGATAACGAATAAATGAGTCACAATGAAAAACATTTCAACGTTAAATCAGTGGTTGTCTCATTTACAGTGTCAGTGATGGCAGAGTGTTCGCATGTTAGCATCTTAGCATGCCAGGAGATGTTATCATGTGTTTAAAAACATGCTCTTGTTAACATTAGCATTTAGCTCAAGGTAAAGCAAAGCTGAGGCTGAGATGTCCTTAAACGGCCACCGTACAGTTATTTAATGCTTTTATTTTAGGCAATATCACAGTTTATATGAGTTTATATTGTAGCCTCGTCAGTGTGAAGGATTTAAGAACAGGATGGCTGTCTCTCATTTAACATCCAGTGTTGCTATTCAACTTTCACTGGAGCCTGTACATTAGCTTCATTACATTTTTACCCTACGAGCTGTAGGCTATATGTACGTGTGTGTGTGTGTGTGTGTGTGTGTGTGTGTGTGTGTGTTCAGTCATGGCCTGAACCAGATGTTCCCTCCTATCTGTTATCTTAGTGTTTTAATTTCTTCATTTTGTTTTTGTTTCTTTTAAAGAGCATCAGATAATGATGAGTTATAGTTTTAATTAAAGCTGCTGTTTCGTCACCACGTGCAGCCAGAGGGCTCAACAACTCCCACATGTTCATATTCTACACGCATATGTTAAACATGGAGGCTTACAAGAGAAGAAGTCGCAGCGTCATGTCAGTGGAGTCCAACAGATGCAAAGTAAAATTTGTCTGCACGTAGTGAGAGGCTCGATAGTCGTCACGACAGGACGAGGAATTTGTTTTTACCTCTTGCTGTCAGAGTTGTCAGGCATAAACGGAGATCACCAGTGGTTACACAGAAAAACAGACATGGGACTGATATTGAACGTTGAATTATTGGCTCTTCCTTTAAGTAAAAAGACAAATGTAGCTGCAGGACTTATTATTCACCTTTTAATTATTTATCATAGCTTCACATAACTTCCTGTTGAGGTTCTTTTTCAGGCGGTGTTCACATTATTTTGTCCACCCCCTCCCAGTGGACAGTAAACTCTCCAGTAAAACTTTGCAGCTGGGTGCAGGGTGACCCGCAGAACTTCTCCAGTGCTAAGCTCAGCTCGGCTGCGTGCTCTCATCGGCAGGATGCTGCATGTTATTAGGATTATCACACGGTGGCAGAGGACCAGACGAGCCCCGGGCGCTTTGATAAGTGCAAACCGTTAGCTCAGCTTTCCCTGAAAAGCTTTTGTTGCTTGACATTTTGGCAGGACAACCCTTCATGGAAACAGCAGAGGCTTAGTTGTTTTTTGGGGAGGTGAACTTTTCAAACCAGCGCGCAGCGATCACACCAAAAGGACACAAGCGAGAACAAAGGCAGACAAAGCAGCTGCTCCGCCGTGATCCGAGCCGCGCAGGAAGATCTCGCCGGATGCTACATCATGTTCTGCAGATCAGGGTGTGAATGAATTAACTGCAGTTACTGTCATTAACACTTTGTGTCTCTGTCTCTCTCTGTGTGTCTGCAGGCGGTGGAAACAAACCTGGCCTCCAAAGACAGTCACTGGGTGTTCGTCAATGAGGTAAGACGCTCAAAACATGTGACACTGAACTCTGTTAAACATAGTTTTCGTTTAATGGTGATATTTACACTGGCTGATTTCAATAATCATACTTTGTCGTGTAAGTATCTGACATACCTCCACAGTCCTGTCAACTCCACCCGTCATTTAAGCTGGACGTTATTTATTCAATTAAAAAGGGTGTCCAACCCAGTACTAGCGAGGTGTACCTAATAAAGTGGCCGCTGAGTGTATTTGAACAGTTTCTCTCTAAAGCCCCTTTCCCACTGGACAAAAGAAACACTAACATCTTGCTTTTGTATTTAATGTGAGAGGTTACAATCGGCATTCACTGCCAGGTCTAATGATTCGGCAGTAGTCACGGGTATTTATCGGCTCCAGCTCCGATCAGCTTTGCTGCTTCAATGGGCAGCGATGGACACACGAAACCTGGGTGAACACACTTGTTTTTGCCCCTCTGCAGGTGCTCTGCAGTAACAGGCTGCCACAGAATACTGTCCGTTTCCGTCCAAGCAACACTCGAACATCGCTTCAAATTCAGTCTGCAACGAGTTTGAAAGAGAGACCAAACAAGTGACAGATATATTTCATTTGATTTATTTCACACCATGTTTAAAAAAATAAAATAAAATAGAATATATTGCGGAATAAAAAAACCTACAAACATAAACCATGAACAGACTTACAATAAGAAACATAAATTAACAGTTTCTGTCCGAAAAGGAGTAGGAAGAAGCCCAACCCAATCCCAAACTATACTAATTCATCATCCATTGCAATTCTCAATACCTGAGAACCATTATAACCCGTGTATACAACAAATATGAAAATACGAATTGAGAATACCGACAACAGTCTCACCCCGAGTGTTTTACATTCCCTCTAATCATTTCTGTACCTTGTGCAGATGCTGTCTTTGTACCTCTTTTTAAACTGTCTGATATCTTTGCTTTGTTTGATTTCTTCACCCAGTGCGTTCCACAAAATCAAAATATATAAAAAGAAGTAACCACCAGAAAGGAAAAAACAGAAACGCATACTCGTCTGCAGAGCCGTGTGAACAGCTCTGGTCTGCTGGTGATGGGAAATCAGTTCATCAACTATCATTAGCAGGTTTTCCTGTGTTTAAATAACCAGCATACGCACGCCTTACTTTGGTGGATATATTTCACCCATCTACCAGTTACTCCCAGCCAACCCATTAAACTCTCCCATGACAGGCCGGCCTTGTTCACCAAAGACACACAACTTGTAAAGAGACTTAGTTGATATGTTTTTTGGCAACTTGTCATCCTGCCAGATCAGAGATTTTGGCAGCAGAGGGAATCAAATGTTCAGTTTGTTCTCTTCAGTTTTCCAACCATCTGCTGCTTGTTTCTTTCTACCCATAACCCTGTTTGTTTTTGGGTGGTTTTATGGTGGTACTGACTCTACCAGTAACAGCCCAGTCACTGGGAGGAAAATGCTGGCACTGTATGTTTTGACAAACATACACTTTTATCGACGTTTCTAAGGTGACACAGTATATGAGTTAACTTTGTCATCTGGAGGTGGAGAGGATGGTGTGACATCTACAAGATGCGTACCCAAGCCCAGACCACTGCTCAAGATCAACAAACAGCAACACTGGTTGTTTGTTAGCGAGTCGTCACTGTTTTTCCAGCATCTTTTTTGCCCCCAAACGTGGGTGTTTTTAAAGGACACATTGCTGTGTTTCCAGCCGAAATAATGCAGTGTTTTTTTGTTTATTTTACTGAGACATCGCTGCATTTCCTGCCAGAATAGTGCCACTAAAAAACAGTTGTTTTTTTTAGGGGCACATCACTGCTTTTCCAGCTGAAATAATGCCACAAAAAAGGGTTGTTTTTTACCGAAGCGTCGATGTGTTTCAAGCCAAGATAGTGCCATGAAAAAGTGGTTGTTTTTCACCAAGCATGGACAGTACCATGAAAAAGCTGTTTGTTACTGAGACATCCCCGCGTTTCCTGCTGCAATAGTGACATGAAAAGCAGTTGTATTTTCCCGAAACATCACTGCATTTTCAGCCACAATAGTGCTATGAAAAAGCAGTTATTTTCTAACAAGACATCGCTGCGTTTCCAGCTGAAATTGTGCTAGAAAAAAAAGCTGCTGTTTTTTACGGAGACATCACTGCATTTCCAGCCACAATAGTGCCGTGAAAAAGCTGTTGTTTGTTCCTGAGACATCCCTGCATTTCCTGCTAGCAAGATGCCATTAAGAAATATGTTTTCACCAAGAGAACGCTGTGTAGCCTGCCGAGATAGTGACATGAAAAGCAGTTGTATTTTACCAAAACATCACTGCATTTTCAGCCATGATAGTGCCATGATAAAGGGGTTGTTTTTTATATTGAATTCACTGAGTTTCCAGCAGGGATAGTAACACTAAAAAACTATTGTTTATTGCCGAGACATCCCTGCATTTCCAGCCAGTATAGTGCCATAAAGAAATATTTGTTTTTTACTGAGACATCGCTGCGTTTCAAGCCATGAAAAAGGGGTTGTTTTTTACATTGAATTCACTGTGTTTCCAGCAGGGATAGTGCCATGAAAAAAATATTGTTTATTGCCGAGACATCCCTGTGTTTCCAGCCAGTATAGAAATAATTTTTCGCTGCATTTCTTGCTGGTATTGTGCCACAAAAAGTGGTTGTTTTTTTATTAAGACATCACTGTGTTTGAAGCCAAGATACTGCCATGAAAAACTGGTTGTTTTAGCTGAGATATCGCTGCATTTCAAGCAGGAATAGTGCCACAGAAAGAAGTTGTTTTTAATAAGCCATGGCTTTATTTCCCACTGGAGACTGTGCAACCAAAACCAGGTGTTTTATAGCCTGGAAATCCAGACCCAAATCTAGAAAGATTTAGGGTCTGGCTATGAGTAATGAAATGGCCCAACTCGAGGGGTGGTACCAAGCATGCATTTGAAAATATCACTGCACGCAATTGGATAAAACTACAACCAATCAAAACAATACACGGAGTGACGTATCAAGAGCACTACCAGCGGAGCTAACTGGTAGATTAGACTCTTGCCGTATCCGGTCGGCAAAACAGCAAAACGTCCTCCTTGCAAAGGAAAGACTCGAGCGTCGTCTTTTGTTCCTCTTTTAGAGAAAAAGTCAAGTCTAACTCGTTCATTGTAGCGGCCAAAGCTGTTTCAAACAACTGGTGTTCATCCGTAGCCATCTTGCAATGTTTACTGACTGATTCCGGACTTCGTCGTCGCAGCGCTGTCGTCATCTGTTTAGCTCGCCTCTGGCCCGCCT